TTACATACATTTTTGACACTTTCGCTCAGCTTAATTTCAATTTGTTACTTTTTTTTTGTTTAAATGCAATACTCACTTATCAACCAACATACATTTCAGTTTCTGATTATTTTTCTATTAGCATTATTTGGCAATATTTCAATTAAAATTCCAATAACCGCTTGATTGTAGCATATAAATTTGAAATTTTGCAATATTTATGCCTGGCGAATCAATAACAATTACTGTGAAATTCCGCCAATAAATATTTATAAACAATTTTGTGGTTTACGCGCTTTCCGTTAGTTAATTACCGAATGCACACAAGCAGTTTGCTACATTGCAGCATAGGTTAGCACATTCGAATGAATTTTTAAAGTCAATCCCACAAAAAAAATAAAAATTTACTACATTCATTGGCGCTGAAAAAAGAAAAAAATCGCCTACATTCATTGACACTGAAAAGTAAAAACGCTACCAGTATACAAATTTATTTTTTCTTTCTCTGCAAACGGCTTTTGCAGTGTCACAATCATATATGTACGGTTACAGTTTGCCAATATTATATTGCGTCAAAGTCTCATTCGGAGACACCAGGATTGTGTTGTGTAGGTCAAGCTTTCGTTGACTCATTTACCAGAACCATGGCGCGCTTTACTTTCCAGCGACTTGGCAGAATCAATACGTATCCAAGAATGTCTACAAATATTGAATTTCCGTAGGCCAACGATTCTCATCCATTTTGCGTTGTTGTCGCCAGCGAATGAAGAAAAAATTTCACTACTAAAAATTTAAAAATGTTCTTAAAACTTGTAAAGAAATTTTATAAAGAAATATCATTGTTTTCGTAGGGTGAGGTTTTTCTTACAAAGCCTTTTATTATTGAATCATGCCCAAAATGTATTCAACAAAGTGTGATTGATTCTGACATTGCTCTCATAAGAAGCAGGCTATAATGTCAAATTGAAATGAATTGTTAACCCATTTGAAAATGTGTTTTTTTCAAATTTCAATTTAAAAAAAATACACACAAATTTTTCAAGCAACAAATTTTCTTAATAAACGTGAAATTGTTAAGATATAAACCGCCGAGAAGAGCAAGTAAGTACATTTAAGTTTGGTAATAAGTAAATACGTTCAACTTTGCTTAAATATTTAATGTAAGGAAACCAAGATGAAACGGAGCAAAACGTTTGAACGGTGCGCTGTATGCAATAAAAGTCAGGGCACGAAAATAGTGCGATGTTTTAAACCACCTAGCTGCGAATTAAGACGGAAGCGATGGGAAGAAAGCTGTGGTGTTGTACTACGTGGTTCATCTCGCGTTTGTGAAAACCACTTCAAGGAAAGTGATGTCCAAATCAAACACTTTCCAACGAGCTCGTTTATACCCATGCGCAGTCCCAATGCCATACGAAATAACTGATACAAGTGAGGATTTAGTACGCGATCAGGATACATTCTTTGTTGATGCCCAAACTCAAACAGACGACTCTTTAGGATGCACGTTGCGAACAGAAATATTTCGGCTTACCGAAAAAATTAAACCATGCAAGCAAGTATGGAAGAGCTTAAATTAAAACCGCTCGAAGCAGGGTCTTTAATGAAAAACTATTTCGTATGAAAAAAATTTAATTTCAAAATTGTTAGAGTTAAGCTCACATATAAAATTGGTAAAAAATGTAAAATCATACTTTTATAAGTGTCGAATAATGTTTAGGATAAAAAATTGATATATAAAAATAAACGCACAAAAGCATAAATTTTGGGCAATTAAAAACAAGAAAATTGCGAAAACGATTTTATAAACAATTTGTTTTATTTTATTGACAAAACATATGTGATGTAAGTAATGTAAGTAAAACAAAACTATAACCGAAATAAAAGCCTAGGGCATCAGTGCTGAAAGATTCATGCATCACTAAGGGTTAATTCGTTTGTTTATACATTATAGTACCTTTTTTGACATTATAGTACCTTAAAAGAGAGCCACATTGAGTTGTCAATCACACCTTGTTTAATACACCTTGATCATGCCCAACAGCAGAGTGCCGACATATTGAAAAAACAATGAGAAATCCGATAAGAGAATGTACTCAAAATGACAATGGGATGAGTGATGACTAATTTATGGCAAAAAAAAACACGTAAGTAAATAATAAAAAGTACCTAATTAGTAAAAGGGGATCTCTACTCTAGTTTAAGTGAGTTTAATTTAGTCATAAATTTACATAGTTGTTTAATGATGGGTTTAATGGCCAGCATTGAAGCCATATATTTAAGTTTATTTCATTATAAATATTACAGCTAAATTGATCGCAAAAAGTGTTTGAAAAAAGCTCAATTTCCAGTTTGATGACTAACAACTTCTTCGGTGGCAGAGTATTCATTACAATCCGTTCATTAGCGACCTAGAAGTGGGCTTTCAATCGAAATAAATTGTGAAGGAAGCACTCAAATTACAAATGAATTGCGGCTGTTGATTTTTCACATTTATTTCACAAAATTTAATTACGCTTGAAATCTCTGTTAAGCAAAGGTTGTTTTTTGATGAAGTCAATACCGCTATTTACGCGTGTGCGTTATGTGTGTGTTAACATATGCCAAGCGAAAACCGCAAATGCCACAAAAAGTTTGTCAAAGCAAATGTCAAATGCTGTCAAGTAAGAGCTTTCAATTACCATTTGGTGGCATGTTTTTTTTTATCGATATTAAAAAACAAAACATTAGTATGGAGCGAAGTGAGAAAAAAAGCGACGCACTTTTCAATACATACAAATAAAATTGAGGGCATTTAAGTTGGTATTAACATGGCAAAAATCTATATATACACACACACATACAAACAAATTTTTTTCCAGCAAAGCTAATACCATCTGTTTTGTAATCGAAATGCCGGTGATTGCAAACACACAAAAACGTTTGCAAACCACAGTAAAATACAAGGCAAAGAACCATTACACAAAATATTGTTGAAATCGGAAAGCGTAAGCAACCGATTACAGTTAACCATAAAAATGGCTGCAAAGCCAACCAAAAATTAATGGCGAAAAGCTGCGCAATAGGTGGCAACTACACCGGCATACGCGCGGTTATAAGTTAGTGTTGCTGTGGTGCGCCAGCGGATATGCCGATGAATTGATGGCCAACACAAAAAAAAAAACCTAAAAAACCTAAAAGTCGAATAGAAAAAAACTTGTTTGCGATATTGCCATTGCGGCAAAGTTGGTTAGCCAATTGCAGGGCCAACAAATAAAAACGCTAGGGAGAAGATAGGCAGAAAAATATTGCGATAAAGGTTATAAAAAATATATATATATATACGTATGTACGTACATAGATAAGCAACATGCAGGATGGCTGTCATAAATAAAAATTGTAATAGAGCGCCGCGAGACAGCAAAAACACGAGGCAAGCCAACGAGATTTGGCT